ATGGAACGTTATATTGAAAAACATGACATTATAAAGAAGAAAACTAATTTTAAAATCCAAAATAACATTGCAAATACTTATTTGGTTGAATTCAGTAAATTTAAAATGAACAGCTGTTTCATTAAAAAGTATTTTTCACATGGCCAAAATGTAAACAACTCTGGGGAGGGATCTTTATAGGCTTCTGGGACAGAGTCCTACGGGATATTGCTTAGTTTTTCTTTTGATAACTCATCTACAGACCAAGACCTTTCTTTGGACACATCTACCAAGTTTCTACGCCCAGCTGTTCTCTCAAATTAGTGGGGATAAAGATTCCAATTAAATATTTAGATTCCCCCATTTTAATCTTATGGGAGAAACTCCAACTTTGATGGCCTGTGGGGCAAAGCCTGAGAGTTTTTATTACATGAATTGGTGAAAGGGGGCATCTACACAAAAAATACTTTATTTTGACACTTCGTTTGTAAAAATCCGTCCATTATTAACGGAGGAGTAGTGTTTTGTAGAAACCGCCTTCACGTATTATATATAAGGATGTTTGAACCAGCTGTGTGGAATTGTGAAATCAAAATTCATTTGACAGTAAGTTCGGGTTGTTTACATTTTTAAATTATTTAGGTTTGCTCTTGTTACCATTGATACCATCAATCAATATTTTAAAATCTCTCACCTCAAATTTTTGAAAGCCCACGGGGCAGAGCCCTAGGACAATAACTAAGAGGGAATAGTTGTATATTATGTATCCTCGGAGCTGTAGCTTCATTTGCGTGCAATTTGAGCCCAGTCGGTTCAGTAATTTTTGAGATTATCTCATACAAACACACAGACACACACACACACAGACACCACCTCTTCTTTATAATAGTATAGATAGATAGATAGATAGATTACTATTATAGTATTACATATTGTCTGTGCTATGGCTAAAATACGTTTTTATTACTGCATCAGCATCAGCTGCAGCTGGAGACACTCTCTGAATATCTGCTTCAACCATTTGTTGTCAAACATTGATCTCGTAAAATAGTGAAATTATTTTTCGTATGCACTAATAGAGCAAGGTTTGTACTAAAAGAAAACAAACCTTCTTTTAGTTTAAAAAATACATGTTTCACAGGAAACATTTTTAACCATTGTAGTAACATCATTATAGCTTAAAAAGTTGATAAGTGATAGTTTACATAATATTTAGCACATTTGACGGATAAACCTTTTTTGAATTCGTCATATTATAATAAGTGTATGAAAATTCATATATCTGTGTATCAATATCTACTTATCTCATTTCTGTTCAATGGAAGTTATACAATTTCAATGATAGCAGTACTTAAATGGGAAGTCTTACAGCTGTTATAAAACTGTACATACATTTTATCTTACGATTAAATTTGCTACCAATTGATATAGTATGACAATTCTATTCTACTGCAGTACTTAGAATTCTACCACTACTCACATTAAACCTACCATATTTACTTTTGGGCTAGTGATTAATTTATTGTATTAATCATACAATATAGTGAATAGTGTGGTCATTTATTTATTTCGTTTCTATGACATAGCTCTATTTTGTAGAAATCCATTATGCAATCATAACAACAGAAATACTGCATCATTACATTTTACGGTGACATAGTATTTATTTTACATATAAACAATTTAAGCTAATGCAATAATTAGCTCAATTAGAACCATTGAATATTGAATAATTTACACATTAATCGAAGACGAAGCGGTTGACAACTTTCAAACAGTTGACTAGGCCTAGTTGCCTTCAATAATTGTAATGCGAACTGTATGCACTGAGGTCGGCAAACAGTGTTCACAGTGTGCAGGCACTTTGGACGTCGTGGCACTTGGACGTCGTGCAACAGTCAAATATTGATTGGACGTCGTGGCACTTGGACGTCGTGCAACTGGCAGAGGCTTTGGACGTGGTGCAAATGATACTTCTTTACAATCCTACGGTGCGCTGTTTCACGACGTCCAAGTGCCACGACGTCCAAAGCTTGTAGAAAGACTATATTTTTGGCAGTTACTGTACTTTTGGACGTCGTGGCACTTGGACGTCGTGCAACAACTCAAAAAAATTATGTTTTGGACGTCGTGGCACTGGAAAAATATTATTGGACGTCGTGGCACTTGGACGTCGTGCAACACTCCCATCAATGTTAAGTTATTATTCGTTCACGTTATGTAAATGGTACAATTCTTGGATAGCAGCAACTACAAAAAGACAGTAGTGCATCTAGCACGGCCACCTTATTTAACTCCAGGCCGCGGCCTTCGAAGTAGCAACATCGTAAGAGGTGTTGTAACAGCTGCTTTGTTTGGAGTATGGTATTTGGAGTAATGGTTTTTGTTTACTTTTTAAGAATACGAAAACATGGTTATGAAAATATTGACTCGACTTTAAATGTACAAAAAAAGATTTTTATTGTAAATACTGTTTTGTTTTCATCTCTGTATGTTTTATTTTCAATCTTTTGATAAATTTATGTTAATCAATTTAAATTTAAATAAATAATACGCGAATTAATGAGCTGTGTCACATGCCTGCATGCCATCTTGTCAGGTGCTGGTCCTAAACACTTCTCGAAACCTTGCCAATTCTACAAGGCTGCGACCTAGGGCCCGTTTCATAATAATGCTAATAATATTAGTTAAAAATTACAAATTACAAGTCTACAATTTACAACATTAGTAAATTAGAGTTTCATAATAAAAAATTGCTTTCACTAATACTATTAGTAAAATTTTACAAAACAAAGTAGGAATTTACAAGTCAGCTGACAAAAGTTACAAATCTAATCTACAAATTACAAATCACAAGTAAAAAATACACAAGTTCTAATATTTTAAGTTTCATAAAGAATATCTTGAGCTAATATTATTAGCTGGATTTTACGAGTGTATTGTAGCCAACTAATATTTTCTTTTTCTATTGTTGTAAATATTGATTGATCTGTGCCACGCTGTGGTAAACCTCAAGGTTATAATTAATTTGATTTGTAAGTTTTGTGATTTCAAAATAAAAATGGGCAAGCGGGATGATCAGAGAAAGTTGAAACTTTGTTTGCTACAAAAGATTAAAGAAAATAAGTCCACGTTGTTTGGTCAGTTGAACCAAAAACTGACCAAAAAAGATAAAGTAGCAAAGTGGAAGGAAATCAACCAGTATGGCCAGTCAATTGGAGCCGTACCCCTATCAAAAGAGTGGAACTATGTTCGCGACATTTGGTGGCCTAATGTTAGGAAGTCATCAATGGTAGAATATTATCTACTTATAAACTATTATAAACTTATAAACTTACTTATAAACTTATTTAGCATAATTAAGTTACATAAATTTTCAAATAACTTAATGTTTCAGTTACGGTAGTTTGAATTATTTTTTTGTATTTTACACCGGAAAGAGAACTATAGATAATAGGCTTAGATCCCTAGACATAGTAATTTATTTCAACGAAAAACAACTTTTAACAAATTAACGAATCATCGAAGTACAGTACTAAACTCAAAACTCTGCCTGGCCATCTTGCACTTAAATAATACACCATGCAAGTTGGGCCGCAGACGAACATACAGTTTAAAGAATGGTCACCATGCCTGTCAACATAAGCAGCCTCATTGACTACTGGTGCATCAATCGGAATTAAAATGCCGTCAATAACTCCAATTACATGGGGAAAATTGGCAACATTATAAAACTCATTGACAACATCTGCAATGTTATCCGGCCAACTCACTTCCCTGTTGAACAAGTTCCTATTAACGGCATTGACGACACTCTTGACACATCGGCACACTGTTGCTTTGCTTACACCGTGCATATCTCCAATTGTGTGATATTGGCCACCGCTTCCAAGCCAATGGAGTCCTATGCAGATTTGCTGCTTTACACTGAGTGAACCTCCTTTGTTTTGGTGATAAAGTTCATTTCCAATTCCTAAACATAAATTTTCCACTTTCTCCATTGACATTCGGAACCTTTCTCTATACTCAATTTCACTTAAAAAATCAAAGTTAATTCTTTCTCTAAAAATCTTCCTTCTCCTTACTACCCTCCTTTCTTGCTCATCCTCTTCCTCACTTGAATACAATAAAGCGTTAATCATATCTGCCATTACAAAATCAACCAAGACTACGCACAACACAACACTAACTTACTAGGTCTATGGTCTAACCTAACTAATAATTTAAAAATTAGGTAAACTGAGAATGGTAAAATGTGTGCTAATATTATTAGTAACTAAATAACAAATACAAGTTATTAGTGAAGATTATGAAACAAGAAACACAAAGTTATACTAATATTTTTTATTCTACTTCTTGTAATTTCCTTTTTATTAGCTTTTTATTATGAAACAAAAACTCACAATCTACAAACTATTATTTTATTATGAAACCAAATTTTACAAGTTACAAATTACAAATCTAATATATTAGTTTGTAATTTGTAAATTATTAGTTCGGGGTTATGAAACAGAAATATACAAATTACAAACCACAAAGTTAATAATATTAGTTAGTAATTTATTATGAAACGGGCCCCTGGAGTTAAAGGTGGCCGTGGTCGATACTAGGCTACCGTTTCACTTCCACTTCTAGACAGTACACAATGCTAAATTTTCACAAATTTTTACAACCATACACTTTTGAAATATTACTCTTCGTTCATTCTATCTCATTCAAACATATAAAATAAAATAAAAATACCTGCTTAACGTGACTTATTTCCTGTATAAAAACTAGCCCTAAAGTTAATATATGCTATGACTACTTAGTGCTCCATAATCAATGTTAAAAATGCCAGCTAGCTGGTTCAACTAAACTGCCCACATACATACGTAAAATCTTTGGATTGGTTGTGTTGATTTGATTGGTGGATTCGTCGGATTGGATGGATAAGGAGAAAAACTCAAACCTCAACTCAAGTCCTTCTCAAACTCAAACTTCAAACAAAGTTGTTGTTAATTAAATTGGTGTTTACTAGCTGTAGCTGAAGTCAAGTTTATTTTATAATTAAACAGTATTTAATTGGTTAGAAAGGGGTTTTATTATTTTAATTTTGCTTTATCATAAAACCTCTTATACAACAGTACTAGGCCTAATTTACTGTCACGTATTTGTTGATAATGTCAATCATGAAAGGTTTTTTTTAGGTTAAACGATAACAAATCTGGGTTAGGCTGAGCTGAGCCCTATCGCAGTGCTCATTTTAGAGGTTAAATAATTTATAAACGTTGACAAAAATTAATTAAGCTACATCTTAAGATGGGTGTGTTTATGGGGATAGCCTCTGTGTTCCTAGGATGTTGCAGCAACGTGGTGTTTTTGGAATTACTGGTCAAGTGAGTAACCTAGGGCCTAGATAACTTACCTATAATTTTCTTAATTTTAACATACTAGGCTTAGGGCTGTAAGTTGGGTATAGGCCTACTTAAATAGTTCTAAAAATGACAATAAATTGTAGGCCTGAAATAAAATCAGGAAATCAGGACTTATTAAATTTAAGTTTCTTAACTGGGCTACCGTACGCAATAACAATTTTATTAATTTTATAATTTTGTGTGTTTTTACATGTGGCATTTTTTAGTTTTGAAAGGGAACGGTCCAAACCCAGGTCTTGTTACTATCTAACATCGACCTTTTTTATGATAGCATAAGTCAATTAATTCATAGTCCAACGATTGAAACTAAGTTACCAATTTGATTAACTTAGTAAACCTTCATTTGATTTTAGCGAATTTCCTATACCCCTAACTTAAGTATAGGGAATAAGCTATTACCGTAGTATCTTAAACTTATACTCATAGTAAGCCTAAGTCCAGTACCCAGGACCGATTTACTTTTTGGTTTTTAGGTCCCTAGACACCAAAAACACCATCCCTTCAAATTTATATAATACCTAACTTAAGTTATATATAAATAAATAAATTTAGGTTTACATGTTTATACCAAATTTCATCAAAATCAGATCATTTTTGCTCGAGTTATCGTTATAACAGAGATATATATTTAATATGTGTCCGTTAGCACAATAACTCAAGCAATAAATGATCCGATTTTGATGAAATTTAATATAAACATATAAACCTACATTTATTTATTTATTATAGGTAGGTAGCCTTTAAACATGTAGGCATAAACCTACATTCATTCGAAAGAGTTCGCAAACCAGCATGATTGGACTATGGGAGGGGGGGGGGGGGTTTATGGGGTAAAAATTGGTTTGGTTCCAACTTTTGACCCAAAAAACATAAAATTTATGTAGCAATTACTTTCCAAACCATTTTGAAGAGCTTAAACAAAGAAATATTTTAGTATGAAGTGTTGTTAGCCTATGCGCATAATGGTTAAAACATAGAAGAAAATTTAATTTAAAATTCCCATGTTATTCTTATGGAGAATAAGTAAACTGTTGTAGTTTGCTTGTTTATATGTTGATCAAATTTGGAAAATGTAGGCCTACCTATTTATTTCTTACTAAACAATTGACATTTTGCAAAAAGACTAAGATTTTAACCTAATCAAAGCTATTAGCATAACCTGGTTATTTGTCAGCTAATGAACTTAATAATAGGCTAGCATTGTTGTGGGCCAAAGGCATAGGCCTAAGTTAGTTTTTGGATGTACCTACCTATATATTTTTACAAAACGCCAGCTTTTTCTCCCAGAAGCTATCCTTGAAAGTGAAAGTACAAATAACACGTGTTCTCATAGAGCTTCTCTGGTAACTTAGGCTTAAAGAGCCATTAGGTATAAATTCGACTTTCTAAGCGTTTTTTGAACCTGTTTGTCTGCCTTGCAAAAATATTGAGATTCATCTCTTGCTCATATGCCTACTGTTTAAGTTTTTAGGAATTGAAATAAATAAAGTAGAGAGGGGTTTGCAGTTTTGTAAGACACGCATATTTTTTAAATAGGCAACAGCTTTTATCAAGAAAATAAATACTCTTATTGTAAACAGTTTGTTCCTATTCAATAGGCCTATTCAAAAACAAGAGCTAATACCTATCCTATATTTTTTTTTGGAAGATCATTACGGTAGGCCTATTATAAAATCTATTGGTTTTAAAATTGAAGGAAAATAAAAAAAAAATCTTGTATAAGCTTTATGATCTAGTAGGCTACCGTATTATTTCACAGAATATCTAAGATAGGTACCGGTAATGTAATTCGTCTTATCTTATCCCTGAAGTGTGTTTTCATTCAAACTTTGAAGTAGTTCTACATTGTTCGTTACAAAGCAGTCTGGAAACTATAATAAATATCTCTGTCACAATTGTATTTTAACACTAATTATGCATTAAAAAGGTATAAAAATAATACCCCCGCTGTAGTAGCCTAAACATGCAGACTTCAATTTTGACTCAGATCTTTTCTTGTCAGATTTGATTTATTCCGTACTAGTGTACATGTTGCTCGAAATAGAGCAATTGAAAAGAAGTACAGGAGTTATTTAAAAACAAATAGCTTACCGGTATTTAAAAATGAACAACAGTCATAATTTTCAATGAGTTTAAAAGAGTCCTCAAAGATGATGTAGGCTAACTAATGGAAAATATACTCACAATGTAGGCTACATAACAGTTCAATAATTTATTCAAATATATTATCATTTTTAAAAAGCTGATCTGGCGTTTTTGTGTTTTCAACAAAATGTTTCCCACTTATAGCAGCATTAGGTTGTCCATGTCGATCTTCGTCAATGAAAATGCAGTCTGCATGGTACCACCTATTGTCGCCAACGTTTACAAATTTCAGTCATTTTTTTAATAGCGATACAATTTTTTTTACATTACTTAAGAACTAACTACCTGATTTCCTACATAGGCTAATCTTTCTCTCACAATTTTATTTGCATTACTATGGTTAGTTATTGTTATAATGTAGGCCTAAATTCTATTTACCTGAAAAAATGCCGAGTTGAAAGGCCTGAGGTTGTTCAAAACAGTGTGTTTTTTGTTTCCCTTAAATGAGAATAATAGTTTAATCCTTCAATGAAAGTTTTAGTAAACGTTTCTTGGATGTAGTCATATTCTTCTAAAATCACTTGACTTTAATGGAAATACATATTTAATGTCCATACCGTACCAGTTTTATTCAGCCTTAGAGGGTTTTCCTCTGCAATGATCACAAAGTCCATGTTTCCTACAGTAATAGAAGCACCTTGGGTAACATCCTCATTCATTGTTTGCAGGAATCTTCATATTGTAGGTGTTCTTCATTATATGGGGCTAATAATGATATTCTCTATTTCTTCTACTTGCTGGAGTTCTATGACTTTCCTTGTTTCCATATTTAACAAATCTGTGCTTTCAATGATTGCTCAAGAAATACAGTACTATGTCAATCCATTTTTCTTGTTTAAATGTTTTTATTCGTTTATTTATTTTGGTGTCATAATGTAAATATTTTCGTATTTGAAGTAACATGTTGATGAGTCCAAATTGGATAAAATGTTTTCTGTAACCACTTGAGAATATGGTGAAACATATGTAGTGGACTTCAAACACTATATTTGAATTGCAAGACGAGGTATGTAAAGTTTAGTCTTGGTGAAATACATCAAATTGTCCAGGCTTTCTTGGTATCGTACGTAAACACAAATTCAAATAGTAAATATTTAACTTCAACCAAATCAGTAAATGTTTATACATGTGTTTCCTTGAATTGCAAAATAAATATTAACAGCAATTAAATTATCCAGCTGATCATAATGAAAACAAATATGTTCTTCATAAGAATATCATGGGAACTTTACGAGCCACTGGGGCAGAGCCCGAGGAACCTTAAAAAAATTAAGGTTGAATGTGTTCAAGATTCGCTGCTACAGGGAAGGTACTAAAGTTTGTTTTTTAGAGTTTAGTATAACATAAATAAACTTAACAAAAAAACTCTATAACAGTTTATTTAGTTAATCCCCATGAAAATAAAATGGGATCAGTTTACAGTTGTTTGGAAAATTATCACAACCATGGAGCGTAGAAAACAGTCCTTCAAGGTTAAACTAAATTATTTGCTTTTTTAAGCTATATACAACATTGATATGGAAAAAATTAAAATTCATGTTTGAGGGTCAATAATGGGAAAACCAATGTTAACCCCTATAAGTCCCCCCTTCCCATCCCATAGTCTGATCATGCTGGTTCTCAAACTCGTTAAAAAATAAAGGTAACTTAGGTTTACACATTTTCACTATAGTCTACTAATTGATCATTAAGTTTTTCCTAGGATAAGATTTTTAAAACACAATTAAAGCTGATGATTTTTTAATACAAATTTTGTTAGTCCTTAGGCTAATGTATTAGAATGGATCATTTCAGAATGCTCAGTCAGTTACAATTTTAAACTTATTGATTAATGGTACCGGTAAATGAATTCAGTTTGTAGATTCAAGCAATATTGATCTAATAACAAACAATTTGTTTCCAGGGAAGACCCCGGGAGTGGAAACCTAATAACGTTTGCACAGTTCCTTTTTGTGGTTGTGCACGGATTTATATTTACGATGAAGTGGGGTACGAAGAAACCAAATATTAGCATATGGTAAGTCCATGTGAACTTCTTACATCCAAATTAATGAAGTGAAATGTCATATAGCTCAAAAACATTACCATGTGCCATCATGCGGGTTGCGTCAGCTGTCCTCGCCACCCATGTGAAGCAAGGCCCCACTAGAAAAACAGGCCATGCTGCAGGATCCATGACGTCACATTAGTGGATATATTTCATTGATAAATTCATTGCTATCACAATTTCCATATGTTTTAAGTAAATAAACAAGCTGGCTGGTTGTAAGATTTTAATGGTAAGCCTTTAGTACAACTATCCACCACTGTGACGTAGTGTTGCGCTGCCCGTGCTGCAGCATGGCCTGTTTTTTCTAGTGGGGCCTTGTGTGAAGGCGCTCAATTACACGAAACACAGGGCGTACACCCCATGAGTCAGCATAAGGCAGAAATGTTTGCAGTACGGTTTTTCTTTACCGTCTCCACTTTCTCCCCGCCTATACTGGCCGCCCTTGGCACAAGTGCCAGCCGCGTGCCACGAGCTGTTGATCATATAAATCACAATATATTGTCAATGGTTGAATTGAAGACTTAAAACTAATAGTTACATCTGTTTATACATCAAAACAATAAAATCTAATCTTGAGGTAGGCCTACTGGTTTAATTTAATAATATTTTTATTTCTGGTATTGTCGTTATATTTAACTTTAACCTTCAATCTATCCTCCCCCAATCTATTGTTTATCATCCTTTATCAACCCTTTTATATTTTCTCTTTCCAAAAAAATTATGTTAAGCCCAATAGTAGCAAAAAAATATAAGCACCAGAATTTACTAGCAAACACTTTAAAACTAAAAAACTTAAATCTGAGAGAGAGAGAGAGAGAGATCTTGCAATTCCCCCCAAATTAAATGTCTTGGTTTTAATTACTAAGCCCTAGGCTGTAGTATTAGGTTTAGAGTTAAATACATTGTAATTTTGTTCAAACTGTGTTGCTTTTTCAGGAACTACACAGTTCTCGTAGTGATGTTTTTTGTTGTCAATGTTTTCAACAACTACGCTTTTGATTTTAACGTAGCGATGCCTTTGCACATGATCTTCAGAGCAGTAAGTATGAATTTATCATACAGTTTTGATAGGTATTTCAAATTTTAATGTTTCAGAGTTCAAAAATAATCCTAAGTTGATTACTCCAAGCAGCATTTTTATGTATTAGTAGGAATCATTGTAGTCTATTTGACAATATACTATTTAGTCCCACTATATGATCAAGAGACGATCACTGGTGACGCCGAAACCGCTTGTTCTGCTCGTGGTTGTTGCTTGATGGCGTGAAAGGATCACCGTTATTGAAAAATATGCTCACAAGTACTTCTGTGGTAGCGGCAGACAATTACCGGTAGCCTATTGCCGAGGCCGCAAGATATGCTAAAAGGTTTTGCTGTGGTCGGTCGTGGGAGACGATAATCGGATTTAAGTCTTATTTAATAATTCGCATGATAGTTTTGTCATCAACATACCACTGTAATATCACAAAAAGAATTAAATATAGACTGTCAGCTGTGCTGCGGTTACCATAGGTTCTGGCGCACACCGCTAGGAGCGCCATGTAGTTACGGCGTACACGCTACGTAACGACACGGCGCTTTCAGCAGTGTGCGCCACAACCTATGGTAACCGCAGGGCGGCTGACAGTAAGGCAAGTGAGCGTAGCGAACGAGCTAACCTGAAGGAAAGTGAGCGCAGCGAACGAGCTCCAACCTAAAGGTGAGTGAGCGTAGCGAACGAACTTCAAAAAGAACCGAAATTTCTTAAACCATGTCCTCACTCATAACTGCTATAAGCATTTGATACTTATATGCCAACCCCGTACGAAGGACGGGTACTCTGCTAGTGATTTTTAAAACAACAGTTCAATGCGATGACAATTATGATTTCCTATAAAAATTCCTTTAGCATTTCTTTGATTATTAAAGTGGTGTGATAAACCTTGAAGATAAGTTCTGATCGTAGTAATTATTCAGGAATTAGTCTTGAAATTTCCTGGAAAACTCCTTGAATTCTTTGGCTAGATATAGTAGACACCCTGTTGACATTAAGTTACTTTAGATGCTTCTCTAATTATTTGTTCAACCTAGCTAAAACAGTAAGCATATACATTTTGTTCCTAATACTAATTAATTTTACAGGGTTCCTTGATCGCCAATATGATTATGGGAATCATAATTTTGAAGAAAACATACTCACTCTCCAAATATGTATCTGTTGGACTGATCACCTTGGGTATTGCAATTTGTACAGTAATATCTGGTCAAGATGTAGTAAGTATGCAAGAAACTGAAAACAGTAAAAGCTGCATAGCTTTTAAATTTACATATGTCATTCTAGATGATAAATAATCATTCTTATTGTTAGCTTGACTGGAGGATTGACACTGGCAATAGTTTTTCAAACTATGTCTCGGCTTCCAAATACTTACTATGATGTGCACAAAAGTATTTAGTTGTGGCCCCAAAATGAATTACGTGTTGCTGTAAGCCTAAGTGGAAACCTGAGGTAGTAAGCTTCTACAGACATGCATACAGTAGACTCCCTCTTATCCGGACATCGGTGTAACCGGACTACACTCGACGGAAGTGACATCTCTTTAACCAGACAATTTTAATCAGCACATTGGTTTAACCGGACTAGATCAGCAGGAAGTGGGCGGTACTGTAACGACTGTTCTCGTGGGAAAGATTTAAGACCAGTGATTACATGTCTGAATACAATGCTCTCCTAAATTTAAGTCGAATATCACCGTAAACGGTCCATTTTAACGAGTTTTTGGGGACGTCGGCTTAACCGGAAAAACCGTTATACGGACTGGCCTCGGTCCCGAGGAGTCCGAATAAGAGGGAGTCTACTGTACTGTAGAACCTTGCTCCGAAGGAGAAGATTATCCCGTCGAAGAATAAAAAATAACTTCCAACATTTCAGATGTGTTGCTAAAATCTATGTTGCAGTAAAATATATAACTGAAGCAGCTTGAATTCACTTGAATTGTAGCTTTCTATAATGAAGGATTGCTAAGCTAAGAGAATAGACAATGTAATGGTAAATGATTCAATGACTTTACACTCATTAAGATCCTGTTATACAAATGCTAATCCCACAGTGTGACACTTTAGTTCATATTTAAAAGGGTTTAATTTTACTCCTTTGTAATTGTATGAACTTCCTAGTTAAAACCTAATCAAGTATTACTTTTAATATAGAAAAAAACTGGTCCGGTCCGAGAAGACGCTAAGCCTACAACAGAAGTGGAAGATTTCTTCTGGTGGAGTATCGGTAAATATGCTACTCACGCAAGTGATGACATTTACTAAGCTAGTTTGTGGCTATCAAATCAAATAGTAACTAGATACTAGTTGGCGTTCACAGACACGTCCACAACATTGGAGACCCCTGGGCTAGGGTTTAGCTAGATTCCCTACAAAGTTTAGGGTCCAAGGGCTTGTTTATTGTTTTCAGGTTAAGCTAGATTCCCTACAAAGTTTAGGGTCCAAGGGCTTGTTTATTGTTTTCAGGTTAAGCTAGATTCCCTACAAAGTTTAGGGTCCAAGGGCTTGTTTATTGTTTTCATAAGCTTAAACTGAGTACGATAACCTAGTATAACAAGTTAAGATTTTACTAGGTAAATTTAGACAGGCAAGGGTTTGATAAGTACATGCGTCTCAATGGATAGAGTTTATTCTACTTTTGGACGCAGCACTGTGCAATTATTAATGCATTTCTCTTTTAGCTACTCTTTTTTTTTAGACTGTTATTTAATATATAATTTTGCTTAAGCAAGACTTTAAAAGTGTAACAATTAAAGACAACAGACCTAGACATGTTAACAAGAAAATTATACTTATTTCCAAGCTCAATATTAAGGTATTTTTTATCTTTTCTATTAGTTTTCCTATTGCCACAAGGCTAGTTCTACATTACAGTAGAAATCCAACTCTTTGAATTGCCGATGATGCAAACAAATTTTAAAAATCGAAAATTACAGTAAAAAAAATTTTAAATTACGTCTCCCGTGATCATCTTTGGTTGTCTTTCAGACATCATCTTCCTCTCACGCAATGACGGAAAATCATCACCTCAGAATTTTCAACGATTGCAAAATCTTTGCAGAACCGCGATAGTATTATGTGATTGTGGTAGCAAAAGCTTGGGTTGACCTGGCCCATTTTATATTTAAAATACTCAGAATTTCGGTATAACATCAACTAACCACATTTTTTAGTGCTATTTGAATGTGGCACGGTTCTAATTGATTAGGAGAGTTTTACTGCATTTAGTATGGTTGGTGGAATATTTTAGTCCATAGTAGAAATCCCTAGATTATAGTTTTCCCCCATTTTTTATTTATACGCATCTTATCTGGTTTAACTTGTATATTTGCAAATAAAGATCATTCTAATAACATTGTAAAACTATTCTAGGAATCCTCCTGTTGACAACTGCACTGTTTATGTCTGCCCGAATGGGTATATATCAAGAAGAGCTTAACAAAAAATATGGCAAGAATCCAAAAGAGGCTCTATATTTTACAGTAAGTTTTAGTACTGTACTCAGTATTAATAATGTTAAATACTACTTTGGTATTCCAGACAGCCGTACGCGGTTTAATAACTTTTAGGGCTCCTTATGCCTTCAGCTAGAGCCTAGAACTATCTAATCATACCGTTATACTGAATAATATACTGAATGTAAAACTGATAATCCTCAAGATATACATGTGTAGGAAAAATAAAGTCCTAAGAAATGTTTTTTAGAACTGACAATACACAGAGTTACTAAGATACATACAATTATCCTTTCCTGATGTAGTTCTTCCCGGGTGTGTACGTTAACTAGACCTCTCCTCCATCTTCTATTTTCCATAGGTTCCTCTACCTCCACTATCTGCCATATTACTTATATTTTCTCCACAACCATTTCCACTTCGTCCTTCTACCTTTTTTTTATTCTCCATTTTGTAGGGGTCTGCGGGTCAGACTTTTTTGGTTCGGGTCGGGTCGGGTCGGGCCAATAATTTTGGTCCTCGGGTTTCGGGCCAAAATCGGGTCGGGCCAAAAATTATTAATTACCGGATTTTTTTGATTTTTTTAACTCCTATCTGTGTTTATAATATTACTTGAAAATAACATATGGAAAAAGATTGTATTTATGTATATTATTTCATGTTCATAACTTATTTACAGCTTAGGAGTTGCCTCAACTGCAAGAAAGAAGAAAATATTTTTTTTTATCAAGCCATTCTTTCCCATTTTCATAACTGTTGAAATATCTAAACAGCTATATTACAACAAGTTTGTAATGGAACTTAATATAAATGGATCATAAACAAATCAATTAACCTTATCACAAGTTTAGGGCCTGTGGCTTCAAGACTGCAAGCAAGAAGAAAATAAAAATTCTGAGTGTAGGAGTTTTGCCAACGGGTATCAGGTAGAAAGGGTCCCCATCCGTGAAGTCCTCATCCTGTGGAGTTTTGCCAACGGTTGTGGGTTGCGCGAGAGGGGGAGGGAGAGAGAGAGAGATTACACGTCACCGTAAGGGTGGCTTCCGCTAGGGGTGGACAAACCAGGTAGGATGCTGACTGTGTTCAAAGTAATGCAGTTATGCACCTCTGACTGTGAAAGGAAATTTATTGAATTTTTAACCTAACCTAACCTAACCTAACCTAACCCACTGCGACAAGCGCATAACTGCCAAGCGTAGACAACCCTGACAATCGCTCTCCCTCCCTCCCTCACACCCTTTCTCCCACCACCACCGTTGGCAAATCTCCGCACCAAGAGGTGGCCGAAGGAATCCCCCCATCTACCTGATACCCGTTGGCAAAACTCCGGTACCCAAAAATTCTAAGTTTCCACCATGCAATATGAATCATTCATTCCCTGCCTCCTAACCTCCTCTCACACTTACAATAGCATTATTAGTTACATCATCATAAATAAAGAATTATCTATTATTGGCATTAGTATGCCTACAGCTTTACATAGGAATAATTTTTTATAGGGCCTAAAATAGTAATAGACTGATGCAAACAACTCATGAAATCTAATTAGTGATCAAACATAACCAAATGAGTGATATAAAAAAATTATACCACTGAGCAACATGACAAGTGGAGAACTCATTGAAGAAAAGATATTGTGTAAACTAATTTACTATAAAACTCTAAAACAATAAATAACACACATACATTGTTTATGCAGTATAGTTATAGTAAAGACTGTAAAAATTTCATATCATGTCATACACAGTTATAGATACACAGTTATAGGCACAGTTATAGGTATTGCAAGAGATTAAAATCCTAAAACAACTGATTTTAGCTAATAAATGAAAAGAATTAAAAATCCATAAACTCAAGTCAAACAATATCACAATTATTAGGTACCCGAAAAGGAACTCTTAATATATAGAAAATTATATTAAATCAAGAGAAAAGAAAATTAAATGCTAATTTGGCAACATAAGCAGACAGCAGAGACATTATAGTGCCCTAATTAGCAACACAACTCAATGTTTTTATACTGTAAGTCAATGTTTTTGAAACTGTAGGTTCTTTTTCTCGGAAGGAAGGGTAGTAGAATGTAAACAAAAAACCATGAATCACTCTCACAGCCGGGCCCGGGGACACTCAAGGTTACAGACCCTCCCCCTCCCCTCCCCTCCCATCTTACACAACCCGAGCCAGGCCCGGGGACACTCAAGGTCATAGACCCTCCCCCTCCCCCACCCCTATTACGCCACCCGGTTGTTCCAAAATTGCTGACAAAATACAAGTAACAAAACAAGGAAGTAGAGACAAAAAGATATATTTTCTTTATTCAAAAATATAAAACTGTTACAGATAATTTCCAAAGAAATTAATTCATGGTAGTTTGTGTCTTGTAAATATTGTATTGGATCTTAGAAATATCTTTTTTGAAACTCAATCTAACTTAAGAAAAAAATAATTTTACTGATGAAAGCTTTCATAAAATTATAAAATATTTAGGCCTAACCTCTTTGTAGACTTGTTGATACTTGATACTTAAAAAAAAATTAAATGGTGACCATAAAATGCCGAACCAGACGATCAGAAGTGTTGTTTTGTTTTGTTACTGAATGACAAAAAGGACAATAGGAAAATAAAAGAACAAGATACAGATCTGTACACTATATCAGATATTTCTTTTGTTTATAATTTATTATGTAAATAAAATACTAAAATATAATTTAAACTAGGTATGGAATAAACAATAAATAATTAAACTGGTACCTCTGGATAAATAGTCTTTCTTTTGACTTCGTTTTCTTTGCACTGTTGTGTCACGGCTTTTGTTTTGTCAGTAGACTAGTGATGGGACAAACGACTGATTTCAACTATCCGATGTTTCATCCGATGGTTTTGCTTTCATCCGATAGTCTTCAGATGGATGATTCATCCGATGGTTTTTAGTGTAGTGGGGTGGGGAGCGTCCGTGCTGCTTCCGGAGACAGATAAAACTATCCGACTAGAGGTAGAATGGATAAACCATCTGTTCGCGCGCCTCGCCTGATCAGTTAGATAGTTTTGTTATAGTGGCGTTTGGCGTTCCTATCCAGCGCCATGTTTTGGAGAATTTATCCGTGCATGAATAAACAGAAAAATATTTTTTTGCATGATTAAAGAACTAAAATGTCCTGTGAGAAAATTACTTCCCTCTTCTATGTTTTATTTTTATAATAAATTTATTTATTTGTTTATTTTTTATTCGTTTAAAATTATTTAAAATACATAATTAATTCGTGCTTAAGGTTTGTTATTTGCTATTTAAGGAGACAATTCCCATTTTTTAAGTTGCTTGGTTATTTAAACTTAATTATTTCATCTTTCGATATTTATTACTCACGTAATAATTTTACGCCTAAAAGGTATCAAGGCTGTTTGTACAAGAAATTATTCATAATAACTACGTAATTAATAATTAATATCTGCCCGAATGCATTTAAGTTACTGTTGTGCTGACTGCTGAGCATGAGTAGATGATTCACCTGAGAATGGATGAATAAATAACCATTTAATACCCCTGTGTAGATAATTAAAAGGTAAACAAATTAATTCATCGTGCAAATAAACGAATATTTATTTCACCATTCAATAATTTAAAGAACAGTTTCAGTTGTCAAATAACTAATTCGTAGTTTAAACGAATGAAAATGCGGGACAGATAGTTTTACAATTGGATGAAAGCGTGGAACGGGTGGATTACAGACAGATGAGATAGTTGACTCGGCTGATTCACATGTGATAGAATGGATAGTTCATCCGGATGAATATTAAAGTAACCATCGGATGAATCGGTTGGTCCGCAACAACCGGATGAATCGTTTGTTTCTATCGGATAGTTCCCATCACTACAGTAGACGACTGGCTCTGGCTAGTGACAGTAAGGCAATAATTGCTCTGTTGTGTCTTTGTTCTTAAACGTGAGCAAACTTAATATTTAATTCTAATTTTAACATTTTAATTCCTCTGTAATAATGTATATAAGAGTGTTTCTTTGAAAATTACTTATTATAACTTTAAAAATAGCCTAATAATTATTTTTTTTGGCCCGACCCGATCTTGGCCCTAACAAATCTCTGACCCGACCCGGTCTCTCGGGCCTTCCGCTGGCCCGACCCGACCCGAAAAAATCGGGGACCCGCAGACCCCTACCATTTTGCACTTGTGCCCCCAGTATGAGCCATTATTTCTAATGTCAGTGTCAGTGACACTAGCCATCCTAAAATCATCAAGACTCGCAAGACCCTCCCTAAGCATTTACTTTTTTTATTCTCCTACCAAAACACTAACTATGAGTTTACTAATCTCAAAATCACAATTGTTAAGTCAAAGTACCATAAAAAGCCTAAAGTTGAAATACTCAGAATATACTGCTTTGCTTGAGGTTTTTTGGTGATGGTGAGTTAACATTAGTCTTATCTAGCAGATTAGGCCTATGAGAACATTTTCCTCCTTGTTTTGTAAAAAAAAAAAAAAAAACTAAGTAATTCACAACATTTTGAGGATCCCTAATCTGACAGTTGGTACTTTTTCACTTAAAGACAAGATTAGATTCCAGATCCTGAAACATCGTTGTAAATACTTGGGGTTTCAGTTGTTGTCATAACAAACGTTCCTAATAATCTGTTAAATAATAGAACTTGTACTTGATTGTATTTAAGAGGGTCGCAAATATAGTCGTGGTTTCCAGTATGGTTAATTGCACGGCTACCTCCCAAAAGACTAATATAATACAGTAATCTTAATTGCACAAATATCTCCCAAAAGACTAGTACTGAGCATCAATATTAGTTTTTTTGTCAGTGTCCTTTGCTCTGTCACCAACAACTTCATTCTCTAGTAATTCTCTTTGATGATCATCTCACATATTCAAACCATCTTAACATAGATTTTTGGTATCTTAAGGGCGCGCTTTACCCCTGACGCGCAACCGAATGCAAGGGTTTGCAAGATTTCTGTTTTCACCTGCTACATTGAAGGTAGAATCAAAGTTAAGGTCTCATATTAAAGAGGATGAAATTGTCTATAGTTCTTAGTTTCTATATTTCAATTATTTTAAATACACACCTTATAAACTTGAGTTGTAGTACAAGAAAAAAGGGTCTTTTCAACTAACCTTAACTTATCAAAAAAACGTTTTTTGAACATTTGAAAAAGACAGAACCATAGATTGGTCTTTGTACTACTATAAGCCGTTTAGAGTGCGTAGCTATCATTATTTGTTAATTCTAAAACAGTAATCTTGGAAACGTCTGCAAGCGCTTCTCGCAGCGCTGTCCAATGGTGAAACATAGCTACTGAAGCCCGAGCTGAGATTTCCGAGCTGAGGTAAAGCGCACCCTTAAGCTGTTTTTTTTATATAATACATAGAACTTTAGCTCAACTTGGAAATAAATGCAATATGTGACATGTGTGTTGTTACAGCACTTGTTGCCTCTTCCAGCGTTTGCTCTACTCTACAACAACATTTACGAACATCTGATGATCACAGTCAACAGCACACCTATGCAGATCCCCGTGTTACCAGTGGCTGTACCAATACTGCTGGTCTACTTGTTGGGCAATGTCGTCACTCAGTATCCTTTCAGAGTCTATTGTGCAAACACTGAGTTAAAATTACACCGAGCTGTTCTTCATGTCTGTGCTACGTGTAAACGACACTGGCAATAGTCAGCTGATTTTTGTCAGTAACGATAGGTAAAAATCAGCTGATTGGTGATTCAGAATTATTTTTGCCCATTGTTGGATACAGTTTTGAAAACCGTGAAAGTTAACAAAAGTGGTAAAACTTTCTCAGGATCAAACTTGTCCTCCTTAGGATTAGTGTTACAACCATCCTACTCCTTTTTTTGGAGGAAAGATGATTCCTTGTGAAATTATGAATACATCAAATTAGAAGGGATGCATACAACATTATGTCACTATGGGGATGTGACGTAACATAGAAGATAAGGTCTAGCTTTTCAGGGACTCTTCTTTGGGATAGCAGGCTTAACTGAATGGGAATGAGTTCACCCTGGCCCAAGAAACATAACATTTTACACTATACACGAGTAACTGATGGCATTTTCAAACAATGAAAGTTTAAGTCGTGGTCTATTAATTTTCGAGTAAAATGTTACGTCAGGTATGTTCCTTTTGGGACTCTTTCTCATTCAGGTAAGACTACTATTTTAATAAAAATTACTAGGAATTGGTTTAGAAATTTAAAAAAATGGCATAGAGCTTAACTAGCGTACCTGAGATAATTTTAGTCAAAGGCTTATAAATAAACAAATATAAGATCACAAAACATACCAATTAAATTTTTCCCTAAGTAATACTTTTTCGGAGAGAAGATTGAAGACAATAATATTTGTATCTAGTAGCTTCTGGATTCCCATTTTCTATGACAAGCTGAATTCTATCTTGTTGCAAAATAATTCCTAACAATAGTTTGGCCTACCACTTCTTAACCTATATTCTTTACTTATTTCCTACAAGCAAAGAGTTTAGTAGTTTGATAGCACACTAGTTCAAAAATTTAAAAGCCTTGAACTCTATTGTTACATTGTGAGTTAGTTGTGTATCCATTCCTTTCACAACCTATAAATATAACTAGTTGATATTTTCTTTTTAGCTCAAGCCAACATGTTAACAAGTATTTTCCTGACAGACATTTAGATACCTCTGTATCAGCTCAGTCTATTACCTCACATCTGAATGCTCGTCGCTGACCGTGACGCTCGTCATCACTCTACGCAAGTTTGTCAGCTTACTCTTCAGCATCTTGTACTTCAAGAACCCGTTCACCATCTACCATTGGGTCGGCACCACGATGGTCTTTGTAGGGACACTCATCTTCACAGAAGTTCCTCAGAAGGTACTACAGTCTTCATCGGCGCCTGCCAAGGCAAAGAAAGCTCAGTAGAATATGTAAAAAAGGGGTATTATTTGATATGCTTATATGAATTACTATTGTTGACTGTGGCCTGTTGAGGGTGAAACAGGTCTTAAGTAACCTTTAAGAGTTTTTTGTATAGTCAAATTTTCACTTAGAAATTTGAAGCAACTTTTGCACAGTTGGTGGTTTGAATGCACCGTTTGTTTAGTGGCTTAAATGGCAGCTATACAAATTATATTATTTTGAAAAACAAGATATAACCGCAACATAACTACTCTTCCTGCAAGCGTCAAACTTATCAACCTCACCACCATCAATCCCCCAAGATTAAAAACACTTTTTACAGGATGCTCTGGACTAAAATCTCAGTTTAGGATGTGATTCCTTTCCTGTCAATTGTTAGGATATACAGCCATTTTTTTTAAGTGTTTTTATTTCAAGATAAAATTGGGTAGTAAAACTGTAAAACAACATGGTTGAATTATATGTTTAACTGGAATGTTTGAAAAAGAATAGAGTTAAGCCACCCAAACCCTATTCCTTTCAAACAAATTCCTAGCCAAATGGATTTCCTTTAAAAATATTAGGTAGGCTACCTTATATTTAACAGGCAACCGAAACCTGTGTAAAAAACTTAAGAAATGATTGTAAATTTAACACAGACATAATAATTTTGTTAAAAAAATTAATACGGCTTAGTCTGCCAGTACTAGTGTGCACAGTTAATTATAAATTATACAATAGTAGATGATATAGATGAGACTAAAAACTGTCGTGAAATCCAATATAACTCAGTATTTTAGTTTAACGTATTCAAAAACAAAGATAAGTTCAAGTTAAGTCAATATTCAATAATTGCTGGGAAGCAAGCTGGTTTAGTGGTTAGAGCGCGGGACTTCAAGCCTTAGGTCCCGGGTTCAAATCCTGCCAAATTACCAATGAATTTTATCTAAGTGATAATTCCGCAACCCCTAGGTCTAGCCTGAAGTAATGTGAAAAACAATCCCAGGCTTGTGCCTGGACTTGGTTGTGTCTGAGGAAAAAAAAATTGTAAAGGCTGCTAAATCACAGGTGTGGCACACCATAAACCTGGCTTTGGCCAAAGGTCCCAACAATTTTCTAAGACATTTTGCTGCAGAGTCAGACTTGATCGGTATATGCCAGGAGCAATTGGCATACTTCCCAAAAAAACCTATATAAAAAATCCCACATGAAGATCAATAGGCCTAAATGTTTTCTTAAAAAATAAAAACCTTATTTTTTGTTTTAATCAACTTCAGCCCTACTCTTAAAATATTGAAATAGTAGATACATTGCATAATCCTTATGTAAAAAAAAAAACAGACAAGTACTCTAAATCAATATAGGCGTATTATTTAACGCCTGCTAAAAATATGCTTCTAAAACCAATTAAATTGTTGCATTGCCCTCTAAAATTCTTTTCCATCAATTTAATACAGATTTGGTTGTGACGAGTCAATTTTTTTCATTCTATAAAAGGCCACTCTGGGGCTTGGAAGTTATTTGACTATGAATAATGTTGATGTTATATTATTTAATGTGTGTCCGTCCAAAAAAAGCATTTATCATTTGACATGTGTGTGAAAGGAATTGGTGATCGTTTTGGACTTTAACAACATGCTTTATTAGTTGAGAAATTTTTATAATTTCATACAATTAAATTTTACACCATTTTTAATACCAATTTAGCTGATATTGCTCAGGTCTCTGTTTTTTTTACTGAACCCTATTTTACAAATAGTAACTGACAATAACTTTACATAACCTTTGACTATTGATTGATATAACTAAAACTGTCCTCACATTATTCATAAGGATTACAAATCCACAAAGGGAGTATCTTTAACACATTCACTACCAAAGTGGTCTCACAAAGTGTCTCATACAGAGGAGTGTGGCGACTGGTAGGTAACTTGTTAGTCTTTTATGTAACTAAGTTAAAAAGCTAAAAAATTTTGTCAGTATATATTTTGCTCAAAATTAGAAACAGGGTCATACACTCTAGAGGAGTATACAATCAAGGTGTGTAAAACTTACTAGTAAGAATGTATATTGTTTGTTGTGTTCCTCTTTTCACTTTTGCCCTATAATTTAGTACATGTAAGTAAATTAATGACTGGTAACAAAATGAGCGGTGAAAAGTTTTGATTGTTTGCTATGCAATCAAATAACAAAATTACGTAAAATCTATGAAGAGGTAATGTTGGCTAAATGAACTTAGTCCTGTAAGTATAATGTCTCATTTTTACTTTGTTAAAACTTTACCGTGTACAGTAAAGTTTCAATATCGGACCCTCCCAGTTGATATTCACCCTATTTTCGTTTTGTATGTATACCAAAGCTGTAAAAGCGAGACATTCCTGACTGTACTCAGAAAATACACGTCAGGGTTTTAGGGATTTTCCCTTGAATGTATGCATACAACATATTTTGCCAATAATGCTCATTTCCACATACCTCTCTGATAACCTTCACGTTTTAGTGCAAACTGAGACTTGTTGTTGAGTGGACGAGCATTGCTTTATCGAAAGATTTTACAGTTGTGGGATTTTATTTTATCGTTTATTGTTATGTTATATTTGTGATAATGGGGTTGAAATAAAAACAAGTTAGGACTTATAATGAAAGACAAACTTAATAAACACTTTGCCAACTAATTGTGTAATTTGTTGACATTTTTACAATTTTGTAATTATTTTTTGTTTTTAGTTTCTTTAACTTTTATGTGACCAATTTAGATCAGACAATTTAAATGCTACCGTAATATTATTAATTAGTATGTTTTTTTATGTAAAATATTAAATATTATTTGACTTATTAATAATATTTAAAAGAGTATAACAGTTAAATCAAGTAATGCAGGCTTATGTGCAAATATTAAATTTAACTCTGAGTTAGTTTTGGCTAAATTATCTTATCAATGCACTCATTTTATTTTTCAAATTCTTTTGTCTAATTTTTGTTTATGCATTTGTAAAAATGTATATAGATTGAGAAATACGTTTTTACCAAACTTATTTCTTGTTGTATTTGTATATTGAGGTTTATAAAGATATATTTTTATATGTACTATATATTTGTCTGTAGCTAATTGTTGGTGTTTCTGTAGCTAGTCATACTGTTATCTAATGGTAAGTGTTTAATATGAAAATAAAGTTTTTGAAGTTTACCTGTGCTAATTAAATGTGAGCCTAAACTATTTTAATCCTATACAAATCCATATCTGAGTCTCCATGGTTACTCATAGTTGATTTTGTTATATGGTTAGTCCCTCAAACTAAGTACTGTACAGTTAGTTACCGTACAGAACTACCATTCATTTTAAGTTTGAACCTATTGAATTATATCTCATCTGGATTAATAAATGAGGAAAGTTTGGGGGGTCAAAATCCTCTACGCCCACAACTCCAAAACTTGTTAATATGAACATTAAAGTGTACAAAACAGTTTTTTAATGACAGAGTACTTTGTTTAGTAGAACGGAATCATTTCCTGGTATTTACAATGGCATTGTTGTCAGTCTAATCTTATCTGTCTGGGAGAGATAACAATTCAATGAGATTACGATTAATTTTAGTTCAGTTACTCAATAAACAAATTTTAAGCTGTTCAAGAAGTTTGGTTGGGTTAGGTTAGGTTAGAACAGTGTCATCTAACCTAACCTAACCAACCAAACTTCTCGAATAGCTTAACATTTGCAGTAGTTATTCTACTATTTAGTGTGTTTTCTCCAAATTTATATAGCGTGTGATCAAAAATATTTTCTCAAAAATATTTTCTAAATATTTTATTTTTCATTATTTATTACCTATAAAAGGTTTAATAAGTTATAGAAGTGTAATTGGGAAAAATAGAGTTGTGAACACCTAACGGCATTTGACCCATTGGGGTATTTTTGCACTGTTTTGGTGTTCATTGAATTCATAATGAAATATCTTTGGCCATTGACCTTTCTATACTGAAAATAACATTTGATAAAATGTTGTTCAAAGGTTTGTTGCGGACATTTTCCATCACGATTGTAAAAAACAATACACAATGTTTCGGGATCTGGAAACCCATACCAGATCAGATACCAGATGGGTTTTGGCATCAGATTTCAGATCCCGAAACATGCATTGTTTTTTACAATCGTGATGGAAAATGTCTGCAATAAACCTTTGAATAACATTAACTCGCCATCACCAACAATGAATTTCAAACAAAGGATTTGATAAAACTTTAATATTTAGACATGATAACACTTAATATTCAATTGATGGATAATCTATGTGAGGAACGTCAAGTTATGTGTATTTGATTCCATTAGGAAACACTTATCTCATCCAATCAATCTAAGTAGAATCCTTAACTTTTACTTAGATCGTTACAATCAAATCATTAGCAAGAAACTCCAACCGACCAACCTTTACGTTTTTACGTTTTTTTTGTGATCTTTACCAAGAAAATTAGCAACTCATTACCTTACAGTTAAATGTTTTAGAGAAAAAGTTATTTATTAAAATGTCTTCAGTTACAGATAATATTTCACCAGTGTTAGTGTCGACAAAACCAATTCTTATTCTGTGTAAATGTGTCGGAGTGTGTTGTTTATCAAATCTCTTTGGCAATTCCCACACAAGGCTGCTAAAGTATAACTTACTCTCTGTAGGGATCATCTATCAGTTGTTCTTTGTACTTTACTATCAGATACATTTCAGTGAAAGCATCTGGTCACTTTTATACTATCGTAGAAAAGCCCATTTTGTCACTTTGTTGTCATTTTTTACCCTAGTGATGTTTTTAGAATGTATTTCGTCTGACAAGAAGTTGCTGAAGTTTTTGAAAAGTGTAGAAGAGATAGATGTGTTGGTGAAGAAGATTTTGCCGCAGAAATACAACACTTTGATTAATCTTGACGTGTACAAATGGGCAGCTGGAATATTCATGTTTGATGTTGTGGTATTTTTCGATAGAGATTGCCACTGGGATATATCTAAATGTTTCAAAACAGATAGTTTACATTCTATTATTTTTCATCATCTTCCGTATCTTTCTGTCATCTCTCTATTTTGCACCATGTGTGGTCAACTCGTAAAAAGATTTCAGTTGGTAAAAACAATGATGATTGAGAACCAAGATGGGTTAGAAGAGCCTTTTTACCTTGAGGAATGCCGTAGTTTGTACAGTTTGGTCGTAGAGTCTACAGAAATATTTCTGGAATGGATCTCGCTACGAATCACAAATCATTTTATTTTAATTACGCTCTATTCTATTTGTCAAATTTGTTTTCCTTGCTTTTACGGTAACGGATGTATACTAACAGTTGTAATCCTAAGAATTTCACAACAGATGATAATGGTATGCCTTATGTGCTACAGTGCTTCAAAACTGAATGAAAAGGTAAGTAGCCCTAGCAACAACTGCTTAAAAAAGGTATAGAGGGAAATGTTTTTAAGGCAATTTCTGACTTAGTAACTTTGTTTAGTCTAGTTAGGAGGTGAACACTGGAAAATGTTTGTTTCAAATAATTTGGTTTCGTTTGTTAGATGAAGAAAACGCATGAAATTAGGTAAAATGCAATGACTGAAGAACCTATGAATTTCAATTAGTTCAAATACCTCAAAGCTATATCCATACATTAACTGTTTTGAACTGAAAGGGATTTACTTATATTACAATTGCTCTATCACATCTGACATCTGATAATTT